GCATATTATGGAATACCTTCAAGTCAGAAGTGAAGAACTTCTTGCAAGAGCATCACCAGAGGGTCATAGCAGGAAATCCAAACAGATTGCTTAACCAAATAGAATTCAGACTGTGATGTCTTAAAGAATGTTCAGGTCATTCAATAAGAACATATACCTCATAAGTGTTTGATCATGTGCAACGCCACTATCCTTTTGCGATTCGAATAGAAGACATTTATAGATTAATTGTAGATTGAGTTCAGTATATTATTATGTTATTAAATGGTTTTTAAAATTTCAAAAATACTAAACATGGTTTGTTCTTTTCACATGCAACTAAAAAAAGGTCAAACAAATATAAGGATTTATTTTCTGAAATACAACCTACTTAGTGAAATTGAATGGGCTTTTTCTGAATTTCAACTCACCGATTCTGAAATTGAGTTGAACATTTCTGAAATCGAACTAACCAATTCTGAAATCGAGTTCACCTTCTTTTACCTTTTCAACTTCAATTTCGGAATCAGTAAGTTATATTTCGGAGAATGTAATCTCGATTTCAGAATTGGTTAGTTCGATTTTAGAAATGGTAAACTCAATTTCAGAATCAGTGAGATGGATTTCAGAAAAAGTTCATTCAACTTCAGAAATGGTAAGTTGTATTTCAGAATTGGTAGGTCCAATATCATGAAAAAAATAATTATATTTGTTCGAAATGTTTCCAATTGTATGTGAGATTAACAAAATATTTAAAATATTCAACTTTTCAAAAACAATTTAATCCACAGATGCCTTCCATCTGAATCGCTGGAAGATAGTGGCGTTGCACATGATTATAAGAATGCAAACATATTTGAGGTGTTATCATTTTCATTGAATGATCTGCACATTCTTCAAGACATCTCAGTCTGAATTCTATCTGGTTGAGCAATCTGTTCGGATCCCCAGCTATGACTCTTTGGCGATGCTCTTGCAAGAAGCTCTTCACTTCTGACTTGAAGGCACACCCCATATTTATGTTCAATATGATTCAACATAGGTCTCGCAAACACCGTTCATCCACTGTAAACAATCTTTTCTTTTGCAATAAAAACATTTCAAACATATAAAAGGATTTCATCTTCTGAAATTGAACCTACCAATAATAATTCTGGAATACAACTTACCATTTCTGAAATTGAATGGACTTTTCCTGAAATTCATCTCACCGATTCTGAAATTGAGTTTACCATTTCTGAAATCGAACTAACCAATTCTGAAATCGAGTTTACCCTCTCCGAAATAGAACTTATCGATTCCGAAATTGAAGTTGAAAAGGTATAGAATATAGATTGGCTGGACTGAATTTGCGAATCACTCTGTCCATAATCGGTCCATATCGATAAACCGGAGGCAATTTCGCTATAGCACAGCAGCCTTCAAGGTATATATTTCACGCTATATGGCTTCGAATATTTGTCTCAATACCACAAACACGACAATTTACAGTCTCCCGATAAGTATTATGCGCCTTTGTTCTCCAACTTTTCCCCAGATCATCCGACATATGGTATGAACAGATGCTCTCCGGGAACACCTATCGCATAACAAACAGTCGTCTGTGTCACGTGTCTGAAACGTCGACCGAAAAGAGTGGTGCACACCTGATCTTAAGGCTCATATCCAGAGCAGAATTGCTTCGGATTCACGAGGCAGGCTAATTCCCCGTTGCCAAACACAAAAAAGTGATCATCTCTAGTAATTCGATGGTCTAGGATTCTGTAGAATCTATTTTATATGCGCAATATCGGAGCATGTCCGTCTAGAGCTCTTGAACTCGATAAAAAAGCAGCTACATCTTGCACTGGACGGAGTATCGTCTGACACCATATAATGCCAATAATTGGCATGCAATTCTATATTCACTGTATCGTAAAGGCTGCGACACAATTGGAGTCATATTTTAGTAGTGTAAAGTTTTATATATTCTTTTTTTTTATGTTCTTGTTCCCACGAAAAGGGATATCCTGTAATGTTCAGAGAACATCGTGAGAACCAAGGGAAATAAGGTAGGAATTAGTGTTCTTCTTGAATGTCTGGAGGTAATATGCCTCGGTGAAAACCTCCCTTGGCGATGTGTTCCAGAGTCTCGCTGTTCGTCGGTTGAAAGAGAAATGTTCTGCAGGTCTCCAAAGTAACCACGAAGGGGTACGAAGCCTAAACTCGACGGGTCAATCTCGCGGGGACTGCCAAGGGAGGAACAATTGTTGATATTTCAGAAGAGCATCGTCCATGAAAATATCTATACAATAGAGCCAGATCGCAAACTTTTCTACGGTGTTCCAGAAAAGTCAATGAGTTTGTGAGCGAGGCATCACCCACGAGACGAATTGCCCTTTTTGGACAGAATCCAACAGTTTCATGGTATGTTTTGGGGCTGCACTCCAGATATGGAACATGCCGGATATGTGCCTTATAGATCATAAACAGCTGACTGGAACTGAAATAGCTCCTGGCCCGAAACAGAGAACCAAGTTTTTGGGATGCACTTTTAGCAATTGATCTCACGTGATTTTCCTAGAAAAGGTTATTGCTCATAGCTAGAGAAAAGGCATGCTTGTGTTTTGTTTGCATTGAAATCTACCAAGTTATTGAATCCCCATTCGAGAATGGGGAAGACCACCGATTTTTTAAAACGACACTATCGTGATCTCTATACTGAAAAACTAGCAGCGAATTAATTTTTAATTTTGTCATTCATGCTAAGACGATGAAAAAAATAAATTAGAATATGTCCATTTCAAAACACACAATTCCTGCACCATTTGAAGCTTGGTCAATTCATTGGTGTGACTGGTGCGACGTCTTAGTCCCAACACGCCTATTGTCCTTGAACTGACCAATCACACTGCAACACTGCAGAATGACGAGGTATCAGAGAGAAATAGCTACAGTTCGGGACTAATACGTCACGGCTCCTCCATCATATTTGGCTGTTTGAAATATGCTGATTTCATAACGATATAGATTCGATTCCCTTCAACTTCAACTCATAATATTGATTGTACATCAAACGTAAATCATGATCCGTCGATTGAAAGAGGTTTGCAGGGATTTCTTCTCTCAGTGGACTTCCCCATTGTTGCCAAGTCCATATTCATGTTGTCAACATTTCTCCGTCATTCGTTTCTGATTTGCCTGGCTGGTATTGGAGCCCTGGAAGAGAAGGCGGTATATGGAGGGTATTATCATTACTACTACTACTATTATTATAGAATGAACACACAGGTCCTTCTGGCGAACGACAAAGCACAAATTTATAAATTAGGCAATAACTTTAATGTTTCAAGATACGGATGATGGTTTATAAGATTCAAAACTCAGAAACCCAACCAATCACAACATTTCATTTCGGTCAATAAAAGTGAGGACCCCGCTCCAACTCTCCCAAAACTATGTTCACTTAATTCTCTTAGAAAAGATGTAATAAGGTGTCCGAAAGGACTGGGGCACACCAATTTTCAGAAGATTTGATCAGTTATTTCAGTCACAATTTCAGAATATCTTTTTTCTTCGCCTAACTCACAGTGGCTGTATCTTGGAGGGGGATAATTTTAAGACACATGTTTATATTGGAAAAATGTCATATTTTGATCCCAACAATATGTCCTTGAAATATTTACATCGAATTTTTAATCACCCTGTATTTTCAACTAACAGAACGGATATCGGGACAAAGTAATGACACAGGTAATGAAGTCAGTTCGTAGACTCATCAAGACTCACTTCAAGACTGTTCAAGACTAAATAACTGAATCTGAATCTGACTATTACTGACTGACTGAATTTTCCAGAATTATAGTTTTCAGCCTAATGAATTTTTTTTATAGATCGACTTGCAAAAACTCTACCTCGCAGATTATTTGATTTCAAGTGTAGAAAAAGGATTTCGATGCTTGATATCATTCCAAACCAAATAATTCTTCCCATTGATCATTTTCTAATCTCTTTAAGCTGTTTTGATTCATTCTCCAAGTACCACCAAGTACTAATGAAAAAAAAACTATTCTTATATGCATTCCTAAACAAATATTCAGATTTCTAGCATGAGAGCATCCACTTGAAGATATTGCTCAGTATAAAATTATATCCATGTCTCGTGAATACTTGATAGAGTTATTCATGTTCCTAACTGTTCACACTCCTGCAAAGGACATTATTGAAACTACTGTGCAGGTTTTGCAGCAAATTACATTTTTTTTAATCCATCTTTTTTATGCACATAGATCATCCTGGATATCTGATAATGGTTGTTTGGTAGTATAACAAGAGAATAATCCATTTTGATTGTGAAAAACAGTTAAGTATATTGTATTACATGCTCAAGGGAATATTCAGTCCATTCCACTTCCTACTTGTATATCATTCAGCCTACAGTCAAAATCCAATCGATCAGCAACTCATTATTTGTGGGTTATCTTTTATGGTTTCTACTTACGGATAGGATAGAAAGGCATTCAAATAACCCGGGCTTTCATAAGCGATATTTGGTTCAGTTCGCCAAAACCTACATATAACAGACTTCAAATCATGTGGTGACCAGTGGAATATCTCTAACGTCTTCCTAGACACCGCACAAGCCTATATGAAAAGAACTATTTTAATATTCTTTGCTCATACTGTGAGAAATATTTTTTCTCACGACACTTTGCCAACACCACATACATTTCCACGGAGAATCAACAAAAATCGACCAGTTCAAGAATGATCTGAAAAAACTGCTCATTCAGCGTTTTGTTTTTATAATATGTCTGTGTTTTCAATGCATCCAAGTGTGTTGCTAACTGAAGTTATATTTTAGTTTTTTTATCTATATTCTTGTTATATGTATGAAAGTAGATTTATTTGACCTGTCCAATATTACTTTGTGATCTGAAGGATTGATGAATAATTATTATTGGTATTATTATTTTATGTAAATATGAAAACTTCAATCATCTTCAATTGATGCTTTTGATTTCAGGTGGGATGGGTGAAGGCAGACACCAAAGCAATCCAAGCCATCCATGATCACGTGATCACGCACAATCCCCGGGTGTCGGTGTCTCACAACGATCACACCACGTGGAATCTTCACATAAAGAACGTCCAAGAGGAGGACAGAGGCCAATACATGTGCCAAATCAACACAGACCCAATGAAGAGTCAGGTAGATAATCTCATCTTTTTATGTATATGAACTGTTGAATCCTCAATGAATACGGAATTTGAACTCAACGTTGGATACCTACCGATTTTTTTCCTGTGAAATATTATTTGTTCTCTACGAGCTTTGGAGGGTAGGTACTCACCAATAAACGCATAATTTAAATACAAGGATCTCAGTGAGTTTCCTGAAAGACTATATTTTGATAGTGTACTTAGCGGTGTCGAAGCAATTGACCATGGAGTACCACAAGAAACAGTGCTGGGGCCAATTGTATTCAACATAAACATCAATTAACTGTTTTCACTAAAGAGTCGCGGGGAAATTTTCGGATTTGCTATGATGATACAGCAATTTTCTATGGGTCTGAAAACTGGAAAAATCAGAAGGACGAGGCCGAATCAGACTTTCGTTAGATAAAAAAGTGGTTCATTACAAATTACTCACGATTAATTAAGAAAGAACAAACTACTTTCCATTCAGTTGTAACTCTCGTGGTCTTCCTAATTTCAACAATTTGAATATTATAATCAATAACGAATATTGTTTATTATAAATTCCAGAAGAAATTGATTCTCATATGAAATGGGACTCACACATAATGTTCGTTGTGAAAATTATAAGATGTATACATAAAGATTTATAAAATTATTTTTTTCGAACACTTGCATAACATATTATAGTACGCGACATTACAACCAACTACCAAAGCATAATTGAAATTCCATAAGAATAAATCATTATGTTCCACCTGTGATGGTCAAAACAATAACTCAGGGAATGTTCATCCACTTAGCTCCCAATTTGGTTTCTCTCGCTTAAGTTCAACTTCATACCAACTTCCCAATCAGATGAGCTAGAAGTTGTCATAGACTGACTGGAAGTTGTAATCGATTGTTCCTGACAGTTAATAATGTACTGCACACTGTTTAACCATTAACCAAAACGATTTTTTACACCTCGACACATGTTTCGCTAACTATGTTAGCATCTTCAGGAGAAAATTACAACTAAATGCTCTATCCTAGTGGGCTACTTATATACTAGGTATATGTCCACCCAACCAAGAAAAAACAATAACCGCCAAGTTAATGTTATTCATGGTTGAGTCCACATGTTATTTCACTAAACTATACAGAGGTCTAAATGGGATAGGTCCATTATTCATCCCTAATAACACAGGAACATCCTCCGAATGTCCCTGAGGGATATCCGTCAGATGTCCTAATTGGTACATGAACTGTACTCTTCCAATGTACTAGAAATAACGTCCTATGGACGTCCCAGTCGGTACTTTCAGTATGTTGTCCCTGCGAGGACGTTAACTTAGACCTCGCCGACGAATGATTGCTCGTAGGCTATAAGTACTCCTCGTCAATGTCCTTCACGTAAGTCCATTGGACATCCTTGGGAAACTTTTTGGGGACCTTCTACGGACCATCAACTCAACTGGATGTCCTAATCAGTTATGCAAGATCAGGTCCTAGAGGGACATCCAACTGATATCCCTTAGCGTTGCTGATGGGTTGTCCTATGGATGTCCTAAGGATGCCCTCTGTAGTGCTTGATGAGCAATACTGTAGGATTTAGGTATTCGATAGTCGTCCCATAGACATCCCTCAAGGACGTCCCTAGTTGGTCCTCAAGTGGGACATTTGTGCGTCCCACAGACGTCCAATGGACGTCCACGGTACCAAATCCGAACGTCCTATGGAAGTCCTGAATGTCCCGACAGGACGTCCTAATTATATCCATGGGACATAAGTGTGTTATTAGGGATATTCATGACTTTATCACTATTCTTAAATATCGCTAAGCTTTCATATACATCGAATTTTCTAACATTGCTAATTCGTTGATTTGAGGTTATTGATATGTGTCTTATGATTGTATCATTTTGAAAGGGCTTGACCGATTCGCACAAATAATGCGGAGTTGGATAGAGAATCGAAAAGTCTTCAAAACAAGGTACCACGTGACCCCTCTTTTTATATGAAGAAAACAAGTTGATGGTGCTCACTTGACACTAGGTCACGTGACCACAACCATTTGCATGCCAAATAGTCAAAGAGGTACCTTTTTGCCTGAATTTTACCCGACCTCGCTAGCTTGTTCTGTTCAAAGGTTAAAGAGGAGGGGGGACTCTTTATGTCCTCACTGTACTTATAATATGGTATTTGCACTAATTTTAGGAGGTAGGTATTGATATTTTTTCGAACTTCTGAAGATTATATATTGTTGGGAATACTTCCTCAGGCAATGAATTTCAGAGCCTAGCCGTTCTATGGATGGAGGAGTTTTGATAAAGTGCTGTTCGACATCTTTCGAGGTTTACAACGAAAGGATGTGCAATATAAAGTTGGAAATCGCAATAAAAGGTTCTTGTTACATCTTATTCTAACAGATGTAGATGTATACGAATTCTGAATTTCATTAAACAGTATCAAAAAAGAACTTATACGAAGACCATTAAAAGTAAGTGTTGTTATTTGGTCCGATGGCAATTAAAAAGATGACAATATCAGCTCCCCTTTTCTGTTAACAAGAACCTCATAAGTGTCGTCAGTTTTTGTGTGGAATTTCATATTCACACTTCCCATTCAGTCCCCCCTGTTGAAAGGAGTACGAGCCGACACTGCAAATTAGCCCCCTATTATTTGACACTCTGATGTGTTCCCCCCAGGGTGTGTTATTTTCACGCCTAATGAAAGGGTTTATCCAAAACTTTATCTAAGCCAAACACGGCGGTACTTGACCACCAAACTCCGATAATCGACTGCAGCTCATAAATTAGTCCGATGGGCGAATCCATTAAGGGCCAGATAGAATGTGCCAAAGGGACCGTCTTTTGTCACATATTTCACTGTGTTCATTTTGTCGCTAGCACATTGGGCGATTATGTGGAAAATTGCAGGCGAGAGTTGCTACAAGCAGACAGGATTGGGTTCGTCTGTATTTTAGTATCGATGGAGAACACAAATCCAGCTGAATCCAGCCTAGGAATAGACAGAGATGGATGAATTGAATACCGTGACTATATCTATTTATTTATTTATTTATTTAATATTAATACATCCAGCAGGCTTACGCCCATTTACAGGTGTATGTAATACATGGTTATTAGTTGGATCGCTAAAAATATATACCTATATCTATACATAACTCGAAGAGAATATAAACTAATATATATATATATATATAAACTAGTTCCTCAAGGCACTAAATAGTCTATGCTTGAATTGAGACAGCGAGAGAAAAAATATATCAATATCAATACTTTGTAAATTGTTGTAACTTCGGCACATTGTTGTAAGGGGACAATGGAAGTGATGTTGTGTGTTGGGCACAGCAATGCGGAACGTTATATCTGATCTTGACACGGATCGTGGTACATTGAAATCAATCAGAGAGAGTAATGAGGATGAATCGATATGATTATGGATTATTTTATGCATAAAAGTTAAATCGATTATTTCGCGATGTTTTTTAAGAGAAAATAAATCGAATTCGTTCAGCAATAGGTCATAGCTATAGTGTCTTTGAAGATACACGCCATATTTTTTATAGTATGCATATTTTAAAAACTTTCTTTGCACTGATTCAATGGCTTCGATATATTTGGAATGACATGGATTCCATACGACACTGCAGTAATCTAATTTACTTCTCACCAATGAGAAGAAGACACTGCGCAAAGCACCAAATGATTTGAACTCCTTACAGGTACGAATCAAAAATCCCAAAGACTTCATAGCTCTGCCTATTACACTTTCTATATTTTTTTTTATCGCTTGGAGCGCACGAGAGGGAACCCCTATGATGTTCAAAGAATGTCAACTTTTGGTCAAAAAGAACTCCTAAATCTTTGAATTGTTGAACTCGTGATAGTTGTGAAGTATCCAAGTGATAATCGAATGAAATTGGGGTAGATTTTCGTGTGAAAGTCATCATGAACATCACAATGATTTAGACATCGATATATGGGGGATTCTGAGGGATATGGGTTGCGTGCAAGAACTGTCAGATGACCGACCTTGGGGAGGCACAACATTGAAACACAACCACATTTTTCTCATTTGTTTACAAGTGATTGAAATAGTTTTTCACAATTATTTTGGCATAGGAAGCCTCGCTGTTCATTGGATGAACGAGTCTTTGGAAAGATATGTTCTGCAGGTCTCCAAAGTGACCACGAAGGTGTGCGAAGCCTCAACTCGACGAGTTGATCTCGCGGCGACTGCCAAGGAAGGAACAATTGTTGATATTTCGGAAGAGCATCGTCCATGAAAATATCTATAAAATAGAGCCAGATCGTCAACTTTTCTATGGTGTTCCAGAGAAGTGAGTGAGTTTGTGAACGAGGCATCACCTCACGAGACGCATTGCCCTTTTTTGAACGGAATCCAACAGTTTCAGGGTATATTTGGGTGCTGCACTCCAAATATGGAAACAGTATTCCAGGACAGGTCAGATATGTGCTTTATAGATCATAAGCAGCTGACTGGAAGTGAAATAGCTCCTGGCCCGAAGCAGAAAACCAAGTTTTTGGGATGCACTTTTAGGAATTGATCTCACGTGATTTTCTTAAGAAAGGTTATTGGTGATAGTAATACCAAGCATCGAAATGGATGTCTTCAAAGGTATGGTTACTCCTGACAAGCTTATGTTGGGCACAGTGGGATCAGCTTTTCTAGAGAAGAGGCATGCTTGTGTTTTATTTGCATTTGAATCTACCAAATTATCTAGAGACAAACATCATTTTGAATAGTGCCGTGCGTTTTTATTGAAATAAAAAAAAAGTTCATTCATTATGAAATCATATCAGGTATTCTTTTACACGAAAACTGACTTCATACCATTATTCCTTATTAATTAATAATTATTTCTTTCAGAGAAATGTTGTTCGAATGTGCCTGTTTTTTTTTGGAACCCTTCATAGAAATCATATGAAAAATCGCATATGGAGTTGGGAACCATAAAAAACAGTATTATGAGGTCAGTTT